GACGGTGGCGTGAAGACACCCGACCTGCTGCTCGACGACCGGAGGCCCAAGCACGTGAGCTTCGATTCCAACTCGCTTGTACGCAGCAATACCGTGGCCGGGGGTCTCGAAGATGTGGAGCTGAGTATGGGACCCGCAGCCACATCCACGCCTCTGGGGCGTCGCGCCGTCTCCACGCCGGACGGTTCCCAAGAAAGGCTCTTGGACGCTCGTTACTACCAAGATTCTTTCGAGAGATCTTCGTTCGGACGTCGACGGGCCCTTGTCAAGACGCAGGCTACGCAGACCGAGACAATGGTCCATGCCAAGCCCTCGCTGCCGGCATACCTTACATTGTCGCCGAGGGCAGCTCGGGGAGTCAAGCACAAGGCAACGCGCAGGCGCAAGACGAAGGAGAACCGCCGAGCAGGAACATCCATCAGCGACGACAGCGACGACGAGGACGTGATGGAAGTTGACCTCGTCAGCAAGCAGCAGAGACTGCTGCCGTCACCAAAGACGCACAAGCAGGGCAAGGGGAAGGATAGTAGCACCCTTTCGAAGCCAAATGCATCCGGAGAGGGCGCTTCAGAGGCGCGTAGTACGTCTTCCAGAGCTCAACTAGAAGAATTACATAGGGTGACGGCGAAATCAACCTCCGCTAGGGAAAATAGGGCTAGTTCGAAAGCATTTGAGCCGAGTCGAAATCACGGAGATATCGCTGCCACGCGGAAAGATCCTCGACCCGACAACCACCATTCAGGACCGCGAGTGGAACAGTTCACCGCAGCAGCGAAGCAGCACACGATCAAAGAGCTTGCTAAGAACGATGACGACAAGAAGGTGCGTCCCACGCCGGGAGAAGGCCTGACGTCCCCGGATAGTGAGTCGTCCAGCAGCCAATTTACTGAACGCGAATCTTCGCGAAGCGAGCGTTCCACCAGCAGTTCTGGACCTGCCGCGGCGGCGAAACAGCGAATTACTAACGCGGACGCCGGCCGGCAGGATACGAGCGACAGCACCTCCGAGTACGTCACGGCAACCGAACACTCCGCCAAGCTGCGAGATGCCGGGGGAACAACAAGCTCCGGCTCCGCCACCATGCCCCGACGCGATGGCACGGACACGTCCTTCGAAAGCGCGTCCTCAACAAGCGTGTTCAGTTCGCCGTGTTCGAGGAACGGCCATCGAACCAAAACCCCATCTCCCACACGTGACGACGCAGGCACGCGAGCCGCCTTGAAAGATAACGAGGATGGAGGACTATCTTCCGAAGAAACGGAGAAGGGTCACAACGATTCTTCTGACGAGTCCACCAAGAAAGAGGAACTAGCCCTGTCCTCAGAGTCTGGTGAATATTCCCTAGGACGCGCCGAGGGCGCGGAAAATGACGGAGATGACGAAGATAGGACAGATAAGTCAGAAGATGAGGAAGAGACCTTGGAGAAAGATGGTGAGGGCGAAGCAGGTGCGGTGCCCCAGCCACCGAGCGAGAGCACCCTAGCATCTCCCGACCTGTGCAGGACGGCCTTCGATCAGGAGGAAGACTCCTGTCAGAACGATGACGATACCGACGATATGGAACCGATGATGATGCCACTGATGACGTTCCGCGACGTCCAAAATGCGATCAATCGCTCCGAAATCCGGCAGTATGACGAGCTCTCCACCGTTTCTGAGGTATCGGAAGAAAACAGCAATTCCGACCAGCAAATCACCGAAAGGTATCAGCCGCCCGCCCTCGGCAAACCGGAGGAGCCAATAAAAATCGAACCACCGCCGCAGGAAGAACGGGAAGCCTCCCCCGAGCAACCGAAGCAGCTCTACTCCTCGTCGGAGTACCTTGACTCTGAGGAAGTAGCAACGCCGAGCTTCGACAGCGCGACCACCACGTCTGGGAGCTTCAACCTGGACCCGGCGGCCATCAGCATCCTCGACCAATCGCTCGAGACGAGCCACGCGTCGAACGTGTCCACGACCGACTCCGACGGCAAGAGCGTCGTCGTCGTCGAGGGCGACTCCACTCGGAACGACGACAGCACGGACGTTACCGACAGCTCGACGTCGACGCAGGGACGTCGGGAGGAGCAGCTAAAACTCAGCGCCTCCGTCTCGGCGCTGGGTCTTGAAGGCGGTGGCGCCATCCCCAAGCAGAGCGGCGCGGAGCATCGGCGGAGGCGTGAACGGGCATCCCGAGTCCGCTGGGAAACGATGGACACGTCCTGTACCGCGGGTCCACTGTCCCTGGAAGAGCGGCGCCGCGAGTACAACTGTCGGCGATCGCGGTCCCTGTCCCGGAGTCCCGAGGGCAGCCGCGGGGTCCTGGAGGCCGCTGTGTGCAGCCAGTGTGGCGAGAAAGTGCGCGAGCACCGGGTTCCCGGGGCCTACTCTTGGGAGCGACCTCTGATGCGAGCACACTGCCCGGACGGGCGCCGCTCGGCACCGTGTCCGGACTATGGCCGACACCTTCCGCCCTACGCCGGGGACTTGTATGACGACGACGATGACGATGAGGATGCAGGTAAGGCGGCCTACGTTGTCTACTTATTTTTGGCCGTTGCACTGAACAGTCCCTCGATTTACGCCAACAATTCAAGGAGAACAACAACTACTTCGCATGAGCCATTATTAACTAGCTGTGTTGGTTTACTCAAAGGCTCTTGTGAAGTAAAAGATGGTAGAATCTTTTATCTGTTTTTTTTCACTATTCTAGCACTTTGGGTACGCAGACTGTATGACATCATTCACAGTGAACACCCCGACGTTTCGATGCTGAAGACGATAGAAATACGGACTAAAAGCAAAGTTATCTCATGCTTTTGATGCAATCCAATTAAGATAATAAGTTGTTTTGTTAAACTTATTCACTCGACGTACTGCAAGCCGGTTGAGCTCTGCTCATCCGTCTTACACTACGTTGAGTTTAATCGACTTTTGCAAAAAAAAAAAAAACCAAGAGGTCGCGCGAAGTCATGTACGCTCCTCCTTGTCCTCACGTGACACTGGAGAGAGCGAGAGGTTAACACAGCAAACGTAGTTGCTCGCCTGTCTTCGCCCCTTCGCACGCTCGCCTCTACCGTCTGCTACAACCGGTTTGACATATAAGTTTACGGTCTTCCTTTCGGCGCCACAGATAGCGCTGCACAATTTGCAAAAGGCATATCGCGCCAACTTCTCGACAATCGTCGTTAGGGAGTTTTCGTAGATCGTTTCCGCTGTCCCGCAACGCTCTCCGCAACCAGTTACGCTAGCCGGAACTCTGCAGTCAAGGCCATCGGCGCGCCGGCGCAGTAGCGGCTGCTTCGTTACGGAGGGCTTAGCGGAGGGGGAAACGCGGTCTACGAAAACTCCCTATTCTTGCCGCGCGTGCGAGATGGCTGTGCAGAAGGTTCTCTTGCCAACGTGTACTCGCGAGTCAGTGCGTTCGATGCGGTTAGCTTTGGCATTTGCACAAACAATAACCGCCAAGCTCACTCGTGGGCCACCATGGCCGACGCTCGACAGGACATGCGTAAGCGGCGCGCAGAGCAACATTGCGTGCCCTGCGGCGTGCTAGGGGAAGCGCTTCTACGAGAACACTGCGCGAGTTTCAGTGACCCTAGAGGTTCGTTGCCACATTCGCGTTTGAGCGCACTTGATTGTGTTGGGTTCCTTAGTAATCGCTAAATACACTGGCAGACTATCGCCATCCGTCGGCTGATTTAGGAACACTTCCGACTGCGTATATATTTGTATAGTTTTTAGGCATCATTTTTTTGCCGTTGGCTTCAAATAAATCTGACATCGTCATAACCTAATGTTTCTCATAGATAGTGAGTAGATTTTATATAATAATAATAACTTTATCTGCATCGATTATGATGGGAATCCCAAAACGAAAGCACGCTGCAGTAGGCAGCTTGACTGATACTCGGGCCCCTTACACTGGTTAATAGAAAGCTCCCATGCGGAAAATATACAAAAAGACAACTCACTCTTAAAAATAAAAGTGTAGCGATTTCACCCCTTGTCACCTATATGACACCCCAAAACTTCAGTTCGACGTACAGCGCGCTGATATCGAACAGACAGCCCCAACTTTTACGACAAGCTTGGCGCCGATGAGATATAACATATTAAACAGCTAAGGTACGTATCAAAGACTACAGAAAAAATTACTGAGGTTTTGCAGTACAGGCAAAAAAAACCTGATTACTTTCTTTTTGCAGTCAGTTACACGTACATCAGCTATTTTAATAAGTTTTAAAAGTCGGCTATCAAGCTGCTCGTAAAAGTTGGTACCGTCGGTTCAACGTTAGTGCGCTGTACGTCCACCTGAAGTTTTGGGGTGGCCTGTATGTGGCAATGGGTGTAAAAGTAGACCCTTTCTTTCTGTGTGCTTATACAGTAGAAACATGGCAGATCTAGGGTTCATATGCGTATACAAATCAAAGTTCACCTAAATGCAAAACGCAAAACTAAAACATTATTCAGAAAGAAAAATATAAGCGCATGTCCTTGAAAGCTAAACTATCAAAATCAATAGTGTCCTTACAAAAACTATTTAGCAAATGGGGGTGTGTGAACTTTAACATTTTATAGTCATAATTTGTTCGCTGCGTGACCATCTTCTATTTCTCTGGGTAGGGTACGGTGGGGAACTTTTTTTAAACAACGCAAGTCTTTCTAGAGAATCCGAGCCCCTTGTTTGTTTTCGCTTTTAAAACTAGTACAAAGTCTACAGTGATATCATTTTTTAATATATGAATTATCTTGCAATTCTTACATAAATCGGCAGAATGGAAGTCATATTGTACATGACATATTCCTCTCAATATTTTCTTCTGCAGCAAATGCCGTTTTTCAATATTAGTCGTTGTTTTTCCCCACACCTGATGACAATACGTTAAATGGGAGTAGAATGGAGATTTACAAAGTAACAATTTAACGCTCGTAGGTAAAACAAATCGCTAACGATTTACAATTCCTACTACCCAAGCAAGATTTGAAAAACTATATAGTTTATATGACTATCCCAGCTCATTGTCTCACTGAAAAACACACCTAGAGTTTTGAAACGACTAACGATTTAAATGGGGAATGAGTGATAGCAAAGAATTTCAAAGGAAACCAGAGGCTTGTTTTTTGGTCGAAAAATCACTGTTTTTTTTTTTAATAATAATTATTTTCAATTAATTTTTGTCCCCCCAGCTGTCCCCCCAGATATTGTATAAAGTAAAGTTAGCCATATCAATAAATTTGTCACAGGTTATCGCAAAAAAAAATATATGCTTGTATCATCTGTGTATAATACAAATTTCGCCCGATTATGAACGTTGAAGGTATCATTAATGTACAAATTAAAGCGAAAAGGTCCCAATATGCTTCTTTGTGGAAAACCTGACGCAGTGGATCTTACAGTGGAAGAATGACCGTTAATGTTAACATATTGCTGGTGATGTTGTATGTATGACTGAAAAAGCAGTAGGAAAGGTCCGCGTATGCCGTAAATTTGAAGCTTTTTGTATAAGACCTAGTGACTAAGACAGTCAAATGTCGTTGCCAAATCTGAAAACACCCCTACAACTACTTGTTTGCTTTAATACTTTTCGAAGATAAATTTCTTTTGATCAAGTAGGGCTGCCTCTGTTGAACAAATTTTCTTAAAACCAAATAGCGATGACGTTATGAGGCCACATTTATTCGAAAAGTCTACTAAACTGTCATAAAGTAACTTACACCAAGTGTTTCAAAACACGGGCAATATAGAAATAGGTCTATAGTTACTTAACTGATTTTTAAGTCCCCTTTTGTACAGTGCAGACACCATCGCTACTTGCATTCTTCTGGGAAACACACAAGATTTCATAGAATGATTAAACAAATATAGTTTAACATGGGATTACTTAGGTCAAAAACGTGCTTAATTGGGCGAATTTGCATTCCATCAGCATCGCAGCTACCGCGATTTCTTAGGTGCATAATCACATTAGGGATTTCTGAACTAAAATGTGGTTCTAAAAATAAATTTGCACTTTTTCTGACAAATATATTGCCAAGGGTCGTTAGTATCGGTACTACCAGATATATTTACGAAATATTCATTAGATTCACTTGCCAAATCTCCGCCGGTTAAATTTGCACCTCCATACTGCGATGTCTCGATGTTTTTCAACACAGCAGCCCCTTAACCATCAAACGGAGATGTTTCCATATTATGTCAGTGCGACCATTCGCCAACGAAAAGAGAGAAGAATAGTAACATTTTTTTGGCATTCCTTAGCTCTTCGGTCAAGCTCTTCAAGTAAGGCTTAAATTCTTTTAGGATATCGGGGTCGAGCGTCTTAACGAAACATTTATATAGTACATCTGTCTTACGGGTTTTTTCTTTTATTAAACTAGAAGTTACCCATGCTTTACAAGTCATTGCTTTATATTTTCATAAATTTTTATGGAAAGTGATATTTATACAGCTGAAGAAATTGCTCTGAAAATAAGTTATAGCCATCATCAACTGTTTCCTGCGTAAGCACCGTATTCCAAACGATAGCTTCAATGTCCCATCTAAAAGCGCCGAGGCTTTTTTTTTTCTTTGTCTTTATTTTGTAAAACCGCAGGTTGGTACGTATTTCATTAGCTTTCGAGATATATTAAGCTTAATAGACAAACAATGATGGGAAGATAGTCGCTCAGGGCACAACTTTTCACTCTACTGTTCTTTCGATCTGTATGAAAATTAGCTATTAACAAATCTAAACTAGTTTTGGACTGTAAGGTAGTTCTGGTGGGGTGGAAAATCAGGTTGACACATCTCTACACGCTAACTAGGTTCTCCATCTCCTTGTTTGAGGCACTGTGACGAGACATATCAATGTTAAAATCGCCCCCACAAATGACGTCGTATTGCTTTTATTTGTAAACATCAAGAACGACTAAAAAAAAGTAAAAAAAGTCAAATTTGGGGGTTTTACGTGCCAAACCAACGACGGGCATATTGCACGCCCCAGCAGAGAACTGAGGATTAATTTCGACCACCTGGGGATCTTTTGACGTGCAACCGAAAGCTCGGTTACAAGGCGTCTTCTCCGCAATAAGCCTCCGTCAGATTGCGGGCACCTCGGCCGGGATTCCAACCCGCCACATGGGGATCCGTAGGCCGGCGCTCTCGCCTCGGAGAAAAAGTCAAAGAAGAATGACATGGTGCACCGTTCGGAGGGCGACAGAAGGCAACAAAAATGTTTTGATTGCTACGTAAGCACGACCCTTCTACATCTTTTGTGATAAGATAATAGTCACTTAATAGTTCGCAGTCGATATTCTTTTTAATCAAAATGGGCAATCCCCCACCGCGGCTTTAAAGTGCGGTTTAAAACGGATGTATCATGCGGAGTTAAGCGAAAAGCATCCGAGTCATTTTATACCAGGTCTCAGTAAACATTACGACATCAAAGAAAACACCGTACTGATCAAAAAGCAATTCAATGTCTACTTCTTTGTTTACTGCGGACTGCTTATTGAAATGAAAACACTTTAGATGCGAAC